GAGGGGTATAGTCCAGACCGTTGTCCCGCCGATGTAACAGATGTGTTCCCAGATCCCGCAAGTACTTATTCCCCCCAGACAAGGAATTACGATATCTAGAATAAGGAGACAGAAGATAATTAATGGGGAGCTGGAAAATAGAAAAAGGATCGGGGAAAAATAAAAACATTCACCATATAATACTCCTTTATCATAAATGCAATTTTTCCGTAAAATAGTTGTATTTACAGTATTTAGAGATTCTTAATCAATAACCAATGGGGATAAACTTGCCAGAACATAGCTCTCAAGATCCACGATCTAGTGACTTTGGGCGCAAGTTTCGGCTAACTTTGTAATATTAAAGTAAGAAGAGCCATAGATTCAGAAAATTTCGGATTTCAGTGAAAAGCATGGTGAAGAGTAAATAAGGTAAAATAAGCCTGAAAACCCTCATTGCTTTCTGACCTGTACATTAAAGTCGAAGGATGAGACAAATGTTTTTGCACGTGGTGGTAAATGAAATTGGTTCTATATGACATCATTTTGTTGCAAAGAATGCTTGATTTTTGTAGAATGCAAGGCGCGCCCCCACTATTTCTTTTAAAAAAATTTTTTGCGCTTTATTTTTTATCATATAATTTGTTGGCAGTATCAAGGATTACATTTTTGATGATTTATGCATTAGCGGTTTTCGTAGTTTAGTTCAAGTGACGCTACTTTAATGGCATTTGCTTTAGTTTTGTCTAAAGGATTTATTTCTGAACCGAAAAGCGGCAAGGGCAATTCTCGAACCAAACCGCAAACGTTGAGGATGATGACATTTTGCCAACTGCATCTTTTCTTTCCTTAAAAATTCTAATTATCTAAGTTTTCATGTTGCTGGTGCCTGTCAACCTATTTCGCTCCACAAATGCTGCTCTACATTATCTTCATCCTAATTTTTGTGATATGCAAATGACGCTTAATTACAGATGTTAATGGCTACACCGCCTATTTTGATAACTGTTCGGTCGCCAAAAGCTGCCGACGGATTCCATCACAGAATACTAAACAGTGTCTCAGCATTTCGTGTTGCTCACGAACCAGCGAATGCTTCTTACGCTGGTGCTTCTAGTGATCCAGAACATAATGAGCAACCGCCGTCAACATCACCGAGCAGGACATCCACCGAGGATAATGCTTCCGTTACTGGTTGGTATTACTTCAGGAGGAGTTTTAAAAAGAATAGCATGTAGTGTTCACTTCCTCACCCCTTTCGGTTTTTTCCATCCCCTCACTTTTTTCGCCAAAGGCGTTATCAAGTTATAACCTTGGTTGCAAAATGCACAATGTTGCGGACTGAAACACTTCGCAGATTATATTTAATTCAGAATTTGAATTCTGTGCGAAATTTAAAATTGTAGAAGGAAAAGGGAGGGGAAGGAGGGCGAGGGGGAGAGGAAATTTTAGTAGTTTTTACGCTTTTTTGCCTATATGCAAGTTGCAAAAACGCATATTGGGACGACCCTGTGTGTATGTGTGTCTGTTCGTCTGTCCGAGTATTTCAACTCGGCAACCAAGCAACTTCCAGCGCCGAGATTTTGCTATTGGGTACTCCGGCTAAGTACCACCCCAGAACTGCGGCACCATCCCTCACGCACGTCTGGGCCCCGCGTACGAGAGGGACAAAGTTTTGGCGGGAAAATTGATAACTCGGGAACGGGAAAAGATAGAAGGCTGAAAATTTGGGAAT